CACAAAAGACATTGTTAAGTGCTTTTTATACAAATTTAGTGAGGTCTTTATAATGGACCTCAACTTTTATGTTCCAAGCTCCTCACATTTAACTTGATCCAAACAGGGCGTTAGACGAGGACCATATATACAACACATTTTGCACATATTGTCTGAGATAATCTTCTTTTCTGTAGATTCAGAGTTCACAAATGAGTAATACAACTGGATTGAAGCATAGAAACACAAATATTGACACATAAAAACCTGTCAGATAGAAAGTCAGAATGCCACTTATGCATCAAAATTGAAAAAGCTATGAAATGCTTATTTTGACCATAAAATGCCAAAATTGGTCATTTTTGCAGAAATTCTATCAAATAAAAGTTTAAATCCTTTAGTTTTATGCTATTTGATAAATTGACACCATCAAATCATTTAGGGAAGTTGCCAAAGTACAGATTCTATATTTCCAGATTTCACCTCTTAGGTCCGAGTACACAGTTATTTCGTAGTGCATTTCTTTTAGACAATAAATGAAAATTAAAAAAATCCCACCTGCGCTTTCTCAATAATATTTTTACAGTGTGTTGTACTACTTTTGGGATAAATTATATCAAAATTATAGAAAACTTCATCGGCTCTAACTCAAAATATGGACAATTTCATGCTAAGGGGGTCTTCAAATCTTTTGACAGCCTCCGAAGTGCTAATTTTTAACATTTTTCAGCTGGACCAAATCACTACTTTACTTTAAAATTCATGACCCAAATTTTTTTACAGTGTCATTTCACCCCCCTACTTACTATTTGAGTCATAAAACATGGAGAAATAAATTCGGAAGGGGTATAAAAAAAATCGACAAGTAACACACTGTCCACACTAGGGACTATATTTGTGGACAACGAAAATCAAAGGACGATAACTGTGTACCCGGACCTAATAGGGTAGAAAAAGTCGACCAATCTTCATGAAACTTGGTATGACCAAAGCTTATTAAATTATAAGACTGCTTACAAAGTTTCATGGCAATAGGATATATATTATAGACAATATGACTAATTCTATATTCAACTTTGAGTGTTAAATTTAGACGTTAAAATTGAAAATTTTCAACTATCAACATTTGGGGCTTAAAAAATTAAAATATTGCAAAAAAATACTTTTGAAATGCCTTAATATATAATATATTATGTATTAAAAGCAATAGAGTACTCATTTGATTTATCAGACTTATTATAATTATTAAAAAGTCAAATTTATATGAGCCTGTGGCTAAAAATGGAGGTTTTCCAATGAAGGGGGGCCTTACATGAAGATGTAATATTTTCCAGCAATTTTAAATTTGTAAAGCTTTTTGGTTATAAATAATCCTTACATATGTATTTAATGTACTTTAAATGGAAAGAAAACTTACAAATAACATATCACATTAGTTTAAAAGGGTCTTAGGCCAAGTAAGACTGAAAATAATTTAGGGTCAATTTAGGCCGTATCACATATTTACATTTAAAAATGCATATTGAAGCTATATGAAATAAAATTTTGTGTCTTTTCTATCATTTCTATACTCAGGTGACATGATACAATAAATCTGAGCACAAAAAGACTCTTGCATTCAACTTTTTTTGCAGACAGTATGGTCTGATACAAAGATTTTTCACTTTTTAGTGAAAAACATGCATGCAATTTTAGTCTCAACAGGCTTATATTTGAACCACTTGCTATCCTACAGAAGAAAAGAAAGATATTATGTGACATAAAACAGGCACAAAAGACATTGTTAAGTGCTTTTTATACAAATTTAGTGAGGTCTTTATAATGGACCTCAACTTTTATGTTCCAAGCTCCTCACATTTAACTTGATCCAAACAGGGCGTTAGACGAGGACCATATATACAACACATTTTGCACATATTGTCTGAGATAATCTTCTTTTCTGTAGATTCAGAGTTCACAAATGAGTAATACAACTGGATTGAAGCATAGAAACACAAATATTGACACATAAAAACCTGTCAGATAGAAAGTCAGAATGCCACTTATGCATCAAAATTGAAAAAGCTATGAAATGCTTATTTTGACCATAAAATGCCAAAATTGGTCATTTTTGCAGAAATTCTATCAAATAAAAGTTTAAATCCTTTAGTTTTATGCTATTTGATAAATTGACACCATCAAATCATTTAGGGAAGTTGCCAAAGTACAGATTCTATATTTCCAGATTTCACCTCTTAGGTCCGAGTACACAGTTATTTCGTAGTGCATTTCTTTTAGACAATAAATGAAAATTAAAAAAATCCCACCTGCGCTTTCTCAATAATATTTTTACAGTGTGTTGTACTACTTTTGGGATAAATTATATCAAAATTATAGAAAACTTCATCGGCTCTAACTCAAAATATGGACAATTTCATGCTAAGGGGGTCTTCAAATCTTTTGACAGCCTCCGAAGTGCTAATTTTTAACATTTTTCAGCTGGACCAAATCACTACTTTACTTTAAAATTCATGACCCAAATTTTTTTACAGTGTCATTTCACCCCCCTACTTACTATTTGAGTCATAAAACATGGAGAAATAAATTCGGAAGGGGTATAAAAAAAATCGACAAGTAACACACTGTCCACACTAGGGACTATATTTGTGGACAACGAAAATCAAAGGACGATAACTGTGTACCCGGACCAACAGGTCTACATTTCTTTTAGATTATTTATGAAAATGTTTAAAAGAACAACCATATTGTATACTACAGCAAAAAAGTTTTGAGGTCGTATATTGCTATCAACTCGTTCGAAGACATTTGGTTTCCGGACAATAGCTTCAGTTTAAGTGTATGAATGTCTATGAAATTAGATTTAAAGGTTCAATACCACAAAAGGAAGGTTGGGATTATTTTTGGTGTCATGGTTCAACCAGTGTAGGAATTAGGGGCCAAAAAAGGCCCAAATCAAGCATTTTTCTAAATTCAGGACAATAACTTGTTTATAAGTATTTTAATTGCTATGAAATTGTACCACAAGTAGAAGGTTAAGTTTCATTTGGGGGTATTTGCCCAAACCATTCAGGAATTAGAGACCAAAAAGGGTCTAAAACAAGCATTGTCAGACTGGCCTATATTATTAATTGATCATGATAAGTTGTTCTCGTTTAGAATACATAAAATATTTGCCTCTGGACATTAAAATAAGAAAAAAAGTCAATCAATTTATGTTTTTGCATTATCAGAATGAATTTGCAAATTTATAACAATTAAATTATGTTGTATCCTTGGAGCTTTTTCAATGACCTAGCATATAAATATAAAAAGATGCGGTATGATCCTCAATGTGACAACTATCAATTAATAGACCAAAGGACAAAGATTTTAACATTTACTGGTCAATGTACAGCCTTAAACAATGAACAAAATCAATACCATAAAGTAACCTACAAGGATGAAAAATATAAACTACATACAGTAATGGCAGACAGCAAACAACATAAGAACCAACTTTCAAAATTAGCCAAAAAGGACTGGATTCATCAATAGGTCTTATAATAAAAAAGGTGCAAAAAACATGTTTTCCCAAACTAAAATATCTATCAGTTTACATTCAACAGATTTAGTGTAACAATGTTTCACAGTTTGTTATTTTATGCAGTCTAAAGAAAAGTATGACTGTGTAATGTCAAAATATTCAATATATCAAAAGAGTATAAAACCTATTTCTCAATGCAAGTATGCAAGGATGTACAGACAGACAAGTGTAAAACTTGATGCCCCCTCCGTTACACCAAGGGCATAAAAAAGAGATGCACAATGGGACTATGTCGGAAGTTTTAATAAATTATGAATTACAACAAATGGACAGAGGAGTTGACTATTGATAGTGACTGATAATGGACTGGAGTAACCTAGGGTCCAATGACTCCATGCCTGACAGTCCATGTGTACATGTATGTCAACAGCCAATTCTAAGTAACCTTAAACATATATATACAAAAGACCTAAAATAATAGTATGTGCATCTATGGGAGACTTATATATATGTCACTGTTATCACACAGTGTTGTGTGGCTTCATTACTGATTAGAGACTAATCAGATAATCCTTTACTTTAAGTTCAAATATAATGTACATGTACTCAATGATTATGACTTGCCTTCATTAACTTGTAATAATTATGATGCAGGATCCAACAAAAGTTTTTTTTTTTTTACCTACATTTTATGCATCAGTCTCACTGATTTTTTAAGTACCTTGTAAATGTATATGGATATATGTATGAATTTAGTTGTAATACATGTACTTAGTTTTGAGCCTTGCACATATATACATCATTGTACATTGTCATAGAAGTTAAAATTACTTTGATCGCTGTCAGACAATGACAGAGTGTTTTGAAAATTGCTTCATTATGTTGATCAGATTACCTTATTTAATTAATAAAATGTTATTGTCACAGATTGAAATTTTTAGTATTTTATAAATAAGGTCTTACAATGTATGGTAGGATTGTCAATGAGAAAACATTCCATTAGTCAAAGAGGATGTAAAAAAATTTAGGTCACTGTATGACTTTCAACAATGAACAAAACCATACTACTGTAAAAGCAGAAATTTTCGTGGAGGATTTAATTTCGTTTATTTCTTGGAAAGAATATATCCACGAAATTAAAACCCCCACGAAAATTTAACCTACATATAATATCACTTCCATTTACTGGAAACCACGAAATTAAATCCCCATGAAATCTTGTAAAGAGACAAAACCACGAAATGTTAACCCCACGAAAATTAATGTTTCTACAGTATATAGTCAGCTGTAAAAGATCCTGACAAAGTGAGCAACAATCCAATCCAGAAAACTAGTGATGTTCCAATTACCATGTGCAGTATTGGTTATAATATAAAAATATCACTTGTTTTCTCTCTCTTTGCCAAGGGATAACTGTATTCCTAATTTATTCTTATTGGAAAGCAGACTGCATCAGGTTAAGATTTTATATGATAATCACAGGAATTTTAATTTTCAGAATTAGCTCCTCAGATGTAAGTGGAAGGGAAGCTATATACATTATATGTTTAAATGAAGTTAACAACAGGAATAGATATTGAGGAGATCCTATAGCTACAGTATATATAAATGTAACTGGTATGTATTTGTTACAGTATTTAATTTCCCAATATTATGGTATAACAAAAATACTGAATTCCAAGGCAATTTCAAAAAAATCGTAAGGGTTCCACAGAACCCAGTGTCTCGCCTACTTTTGCTGTTTATTTCATCATTTTCTCATCACTTGGCGTCCGTCGTCGTCCGTTAACTTTTAAAAAATCTTCTCTGAAACTATTGGGCCAAATAAAACCAAACTTGGCCTAAATCATCCTTAGGGTATCTAGTTTAAAAAATGTATCCGTTGACCCTGGCCATCAACCAAGATGACCAATATTGCTAAAAATAGAACATGGGGGTAAAATGCAGTTTTTGGCTTCTATCTTTGAAACCAAAGCATTTAGAGCAAATCTGACATGGGGTAAAAATGTTCATCAGGTGAATATCTATCTCTGTTGAATTTTCAGACGCATCAGACAACCCGTTGTTGGGTTGCTGCCCCTGAATTGGTAATTTTAAGAATTTTTTTTTCAATTTTTATACAACCACAAAAAATTATTGGTATCACGTTGTCGTCGTCGTCGCCCAAAGACACTTGGTTTCCGGACAATAACTTTAGTATTGGTGAATAGAAATCTATGAAATTTAAACATAAGGTTTATAACCACAAAAGGAAGGTTGGGATTGATTTTGGGGGTTATGGTCCCAACAGTTTAGGAATTAGGGGCCCAAATAAGCATTTTTCTAGTTTCATGACAATAACTTGTGGAACAGTGTATGGATCTCTCTGAAATTATACTACAAGTTTCCATACCACAAAGGGATGGTTAGGATTGGCTTTGGGGGGTTATGGCTCAAACCATTTAGGAATTGGGGGCAAAAAAGTGAGAAAAAACAAGGGTGTCCTGGTTAATGGACAATTACTTAAGTACAAATTACAGTGTAAGGGAGGTAATTCAAATACATCTTGGAAATTTGAATTGAAATTATGACCATAACTGAGGGAAAGATTTTTTTTTTTGGAAAAAAGGGGGGGGGGGACAATTTTTTCTCCTCAAGATTTCAGAAATCAAAATCAAAAAGAAAATCCTTCAAATTTATTTTTTTTTTTTAAGAGGGGATGGAGGTCAATTCGCAACAGCATAGTGTATTACACAAAAGCAAAATTTTGAATATAAATTCAAATCATATAACCAATTCTAAGTTCTTTGACTACAGTTATTCTGTGTCAGAAACCTATTATGTGTCAAATATTGAATTGCAATCCAAATTCAGACCTGTATCAAGCGCGAATATTGTGTCCATATTTGCCCCAACTGTTCAGGGTTGGACCTCTGTGGTCATATCCAGCTGCGCTCGGCAAAGCAATTTATTGGTTATTATCTTGAACATTATAATAGAGATAAACTGTAAACAGCAATAATGTTCAGCAAAATAAGATTCACAAATAAGTCAACAGGATCAAAATGGTCAATTGACCCCATAAGGAGTTATTGCACTTTAAAGTCAAATTTAACAATTTTTTCGTAAATTTTTGTAATCTTTTACAAAAGTCTTTTAATGAAACAACTGAGACAAATTTAACCAAACTTGGCCATAATAAGCATTAGGGTATCTAGTTTAAAAATAGAACATAGGGGGAAAAATGCAGTTTTTGACTTATATCTTTGAAACTAAAGCAAAAGTATATCGGTTGCATTATTTCATGCATCAATTGTAAAATAAAAAAAATATCAGGTGAGCGACACAGGCTCCTTGGAGCTTTTAGTTGGTATTGTAATTTAAATGAGGTTACGACATGTAAGAAAGGGGCTTGAAAAATGAGGAATTGTGTTTCTACAAGCAATTAGTAATCTAGATCTATAATACTAAAATAACAAGGTCCAATTTGTGAGCCGGCATGACATAAAAATGACGATTCAAAGAATTCAACTTTATTTATAACTTATATATATAGGACAATGGTGTTGATTAAAAATTACACCATTCGAGGCCCATTTGTTTTCCACATAATTATTACTACAGATAATTAACAAGTTCTGGGTCGAAGGGTTCAAAAAGAAAGATTTTGAAAGCAGAGAAAACTTTGCACCTAATGACCAGCATGACATTATTAGATGACAAAACGAAAAATCTTAAAATTCAGGCTAAAAATAAGGCTAAGGTACTTTGCTTCAGTCACAACACCATAATGTCCCGGAGTATCCTATTATATATTATATATACAGGTAATGTGTAGTACACATGCATGAATAGAGTTAGTTTTCATTATTACGGTAATTTATGTTGATAAAAATGAGAATATGTAGTATTATTGCCAATGAGACAACTATCCACCAGAGTCCAAATGACTGAATGTTAGCAACTATAGATCACTGTATGAACAGCTTTCAACAATGAGCAAAACTGATACTGCATCTAGCAAGCTATAAAAGGTCCTGAAATTACAGATGTAATACAATTCCAATTTATGTAAAAGACATTAAACGAAAAATAAATATGATAAACAACAACTATTATATTCCACTCCAGTTGTTCACACGATATATACACTAGTAGCAATATTTGAGTCTGAAACGGTCATTTTGGTCTGATCAAGTCTTAATCGACTGGATTTACTGCTAGAGAAAAACGTCAAGACTTTTTCAGACTTTCAGACGCTGTCACGATATACCGTGTTAAGTCCGTTCAGTCATGACAAGATAAACAAGACAGATTGTTCTTGCATCCGATTAAGACTTGATCAGACCATGTTCAGATCAAATCAGACTAAAGGTAAAAATGCTGTTTAGACTTTTTAAGATCGTGTTCAGTCGTGTTAAGATTTTAAATATTCGGATGCAAAACGGGCGACACTTTCTCTGTGTTTATTAGGGGTTGTTTCCCTTTCGTGAATAAAATAGGAAAAGAATGGAGGGTATTCTTTTGTGGTCTTTTAATGTTATGTTGTATGTCTATTAATTAAATAACGTTTGCAAAGTTGCAATTCATTTTTTTCCGATGTTATTTCACGTAAACATTTAATTGATTATATAAGAAAAGAATAATTGGTGTAACCGGAAAAGTGTGCAAGTCATTAAAACTTTGCAGTCGTGCTTTCTTGCATTAAGTATTTAGTATTTATTCGTTCCGTCTATAAAGATATAATGATTAGTAATAAATATCAGAAATGTTCTTAAACACATTTTCGTCTGTGATTTAAAATAATTGTTCTTACCCATATAAAATTAGTCAAGGAAAATATATTCTGAGTATCTTATATATTTTTCTAATTTTTGACAGATGACAGATGTTTGGTGAAAGTTTTTTACATTTTAATATACGGATTATCTGAGCATTCAACCGAAACGGACTGTCAAACACTATCTTAATAATTATAAATACCCGTGCAACGCTGTGACTGTTTTATCCATGGAAGTTATGTGAAATATGTTGCCATGTTTTATCATATATAAGGATACACCGGATAAAATTATTACATTTACAAATTATACAACATTATTTCAAAATAAATGTAACAAGAATGCAAGCATATTTCAAAAATCTAGGTAACAGTTTATATTTAGTTTAGGTACCTATAAAACCCGATTTTGATACTTCTCTGACCTTTTTAAGCATCAAGTCTTTTTTAACAAGAACTAAAAAAAAAAGAATAAACTATATTATAGAAAAATTTAACATAGAATAAGTTATGAAACAATTATTAAAAAGAAAATGTACATAATTATACATCTAGTTTACGGTTTATATTTCTGTTTCGTAGCAGATTTGTTTTATATAGCACCCGTGTTACTTCTCATTTCAAAAACAAAATGTCAAAGTGGCTTGGTGCCTAAACGGCTTTATGGTGCTTCAAAAACATATCCTTCTAATGATTAAAATTTAATAAATCTTCATTTATCAAGGCTAATGAACAATTTCCCAAACTGTAAAAAGAAAATATGTAATAAAAAGTAATTATTTCAAGATTTGTCTCTTATATAATCAATCAATTGTCAACAAATTATATGTGACTTTTGTCCTATCAAATTTGTAACTTTCTGTCCTGTGACTTTCTTTCCGCTGTCCGTTAAAAAGGACCTCCCGCACTCAGGGAGAGAAAACTGCCGAGACTACCAATGATAATTGTTAGATAGAATAATAAGTTCATCAGTCATTCTCAATTTTATATTTATATAATCAAAATATGCATGCTGGTGCTTAAAAAAATCTGTTTCAAATGTTTAATTTAAGGAATGCTCTGATTTCAAAACTTAAATCTTCCTCTGTTGCTTTCGATTGATATCATTTGCATATCATGTAATATTGTTCGCTGAACATTCAACTATCTTAGCCAAGCATGGGCACTTCGGAATGCAATCTACAGAAAAAAAGATAAACCAGTTTTAAATTATGTACATTGTGCGAGTGTCGTGTTCGACTTATAATCATATATATAATCTATAAAATAGTCATCAGTTACTATTAATACAATTATACTGTTGCATTTTTGACACTTTACTCAGAAAGATGTGAATATATTTTAATTTTCTTACAACAAAATTTCCTACTTCAATTTGCTACTCGTCTACAAAAAAAAAAAACATTTATTATTTCATTTTTGCCATCGAAATTCCTGATAGATATGGTTTTTTTTATCTATCTATCAGGTAAATATCAAAAATGAATCCAGAGTTTTTCAAGTACATTGACGGTTGTGAATTAAGGATTAGTTACTTTATGGAAAACTCATTTACCTGGATGGTAATATTATCGTTAGTCTTTCTTTTAATAATTTGATAATTTTTCCTCTTTTGCAAATTATAGATAAAGAATAAAATGAAAATTTGTTTTCGATTGTATTCAGGCAGAGAGAAACATATTTTTTTTTTGTTTTATTTCAAATAATTACGGAAGATTTTTAGTACGGATATAAACGATTCTTAATCTTTTCCAATTTGCAAATATAATTCGGTGGTTTTTTTTTTTTTTTTTTGCACATGGTTGATGAAAATTGTATGATCTAACTTCTTTCAGAGGTCTGTTAAACCTTGAAAATATGACAATTCCGTGAATCACA